GGGGAGGGGGAGGAGCCACACCTCTGGATCTCTACCGGCTAAGGGATCGCAGAGGCAGGTGTGCCTAGGTTAGGGAAAGGGGAAGGGGCGCAGTCCTTACTCCCGAGGAGGCTGGCGGGGGGGGTCATGGCATCTGGTCTGAGCTGTCCAAGGGACTCGAACCTCCGGGTGGTGGTGCAGAATTGGAGGGATCACGACCTGGGAGAGCTCCCAGGGGTGCCGGCAAGCCTTTGGGTCCTGAGTTCGAGTCCCTCTTAAAAACAACTCCAACCCCTTCCCCCGCTAAAGAATAAAAAGGAGGGCTGGGTGGCTTCCGAGTCTCAACTCGAATCTGAGTCATTTTTTTGGGGGGGGAGGATGAACCCGAGTCAAGTCGCCCGTGGGACTTAAAGTCCGGCGTGGCAGCAATTCACGCGACTCGAGTCCCCCGTCCCTGAGCGCTCCTGCAGGGTTTGGATTAAAAGCCGGAGCGGATCCCCTGGGTTCGTCTGCAAGGCGCTGGAAGCTTCTCTGGGGTGTGTGTGTTTGTGTGTATAAGGATACCTACGCAAAACCCGATGGTGTAGTACAAGCCCCCCCAAAAAAGTTTTATTTTTTTATTTTTACACCCAGACTCTGCCCTCTACCAACCTCCACCATCTTGCTTCAAAGGCAAAAGGCTATGTATTGACCCACGGACGCTTAGCATTAACATTAGCTGACGGCCTTCATCTATGGCCAGAAAGAAAATCAGGGGCAATCAATCCTTGGGAGTTAATTCCCAGTGTTAATAAACCAATGGACATCTTGATTGATTGATTGATTGATTGATTGATTGATTGATTGTATTTTTTACCCTGCCTATCTGGTCAGATAACCACTCATCCTTTTTACCTGCTGTATCTTCACCCACCCACCCACACACACACACAGAGGCCAGAGGATAATCCTGCTTTGAACTACTTTCCCTCCCTATCTGGTCACTCATCCTTTGTACCTGCTGTATCTTCACCCCCACACACAACTGTCTGAAGAATACACACACACACACACACACACAGGCCAGAGGATAATCCTGCTTTGAACTACTGTATTTCCTCCATTTTGATGGAGATCTGATGATGCACAAGAGGTGGTCTTTTCCCCAAAATCCCTTTCCTTTACTGTATTGCCTCCATTTTGATGGAGATCTGATGATCCACAAGCGGTGGTCTTTTCCCCAAAATCCCTTTCCTTCCACAAATTGGGGTTGATTTTCTTTACCCTTTTCCAGTGTGGCGTTGGTCAGATTCTTTTTCTTATTTGCAGCCTTGGTGTTGTTGTTGTTGTTGTTTTTAAGCTTTTAAATCTTGTCTCTTGACACCGCACGCCGCCTGGGGTCCTTTTTTTTGGGGGGGGGAGAAAGGTGGGGTAAAAAATATTTTAAAGAAATTTAAAAAATACCTCAGTGTCGCAAAAGAAGGGGCTGGGACGAGGCACCGATGCTGCCGAGAAAGGGAGAGAGGGCCGTGGGTGCGAAAAACCAAGCACGTGTGCAAAGGAAAAGTGTGTGAAATGGCGTGAAGAAGAGACCTGTGTGAGCATGCAGTCTGCCTTGCACCCTGAGGTGATTTTTCCCTTCCCAAACCCACAGATTGATCTCTCTCACAGTCATCGTTCCCAAAGTCACTTTCTTCACCATATATACAAACACGGCTAAGATTATATACACAATTGTGTTTTTATACATGGTGAGGGATAAGGAAGGTGAGGGGAAAAGTGTGAGAGGGAATGAGGCAGGCTTTCTGCTCACACTGGGCCCTTCTTCACAGAGCTAGGCACATCCATAGCTAGTTTCAACGTTTGTTGCAACGCTTAGTTGAAATTAAGGGGGGGGGGAGAGAAAGAGAGAGACAGAGAAAAAAAAATAAGAGATCAAGATGTTGTGGCACCTTAAAAACAAACCGATTCATTTGAACGCAAGCTTTCTCCGGATGAAAATCCACTTCAGGAGTGCTTTGAGATCCAGAAAACTTGCACACTGGAATACATTTAATAAGCCGCCCCGAGTAGGCATTGTCTAGAGGGGCGGGGTAAAAATCTAACAAACAAACAAACAAACAAACAAATAAACAAATAAACAAATAAACAAATAAATAAATAAATAAATAAATAAATTTTGTCTTTAAGGCGCCCCTCAGCCAGTCCTTCTCGCTCAACCCCGCTGTCTTTCCCCCCCACCTTGCGATTGGTTTAATTAGTGTACAGCCCTTCTCCCCCCTCACATATACAGTATGTGTGTGTGTGTGTGAGTGTGTGTAAAATATATATATAGGTGAGGGGGAGAAGGGCTGTGTATGTGTGTATATATATATATATAATGCAGAGAGAAGGAGACTGTGTGAGAAGCAGAGGAAAAGGAAGGCCAAAAAAAACCCCTTTAAAAAAAAGAGAGATATATAGATTTTGATGCCAAAGAGGAAATGAAGCTCCATGTGTGTGTCAAGTACATGTTAAAAAAGCATATGGCATGTAGGTGTGTAGGAAAAGGACCTGGATAATGAGCCAGGATATTGATTTTTATCGCTATTTGTGAGCACACACATGTGGCTGTGTGTCAGGGAGAGACGTTTTTGAATGTTAAAGCTCTTATAATATTCTTTTTTTCAGTTTGTAATGCCTAGGCTTCGTTGGGTGGATCTGGCCCTGAGAGAAAGGGGAGCGTATGGAGAAAAATGTGACAAAATTGTGAAAAGGAAGAACGCTGGAGAAGGCCAGCTAAGAGTAAATTGACAAAAGAGAATTTACAAAGTCTGGTTTGTGTTAACGTGTGTCTATATGAAATTAGGAAACCATGTATATTCTCCAGTTAGATGATTTTAAATATATAATCGTCTAACTGCAGAATATATACGGTTTCCTAATTTCATATATACATACGTTAACACAAACCAATATATATAACCTGTAGATATATAAATATAATAATCTAACTGCAGAACTGGAAGGGACCCGAATTCGAACTCGCAACCTCAGAGACCGAAACCCCTGAGCTACATCCATATTTCAAGCCCTACAGCCCAACCCTGGCTTTGTGGGAATTTCCACATGGACACAGTTCTCCGTAGTGGGAATATGTTTTGAAATTTCCACCAGAGGTTGGAAAGAGACTGGGCAGACCCCGGATATTTTGCCGCCTGAGGTCCAAGACAAAATGGCTTCCCCTCCAGACTAAGGCAACATCGTTGATTGTGCCTGAGGGGAGATCTGGTGGCCAAGCTTGGTGGGGTCCATAAGTCACACAGATAGATCTGTTCCCCCCAACCAGGCTGTTTTTGCCACCCCCCAAAATTTGCCGCCTGAGGCAAGCATCTCAACATATGATCAAATAATGGTGCAGACATTGGAATGAGGCAATCCCTAACCTCTCTTCAATTTTCTCTTAATTTTTTTTAATAAGACAGCTGTAACACACACACACAGAGAGAGCTTTCTCGTTTCCTCACATGCTCCCCAAAAATTTGACAAAATGTTCTTGTCTGTCAGCAGCGTTGATTGCTTTGCAAAAGCGAGCTGTCAACGCAGGCGGCGAAATCTTTGGGTTTTTTTTGAATAGGATGAGATAATCGTCGGGTGTTGCTTCCCAACCCCCTTTTTTTCCTTTAACATCAGACGGAATTTCAACGCTGCTCACTTCATTCTCATTAAGGAGTTTTGCTCCAAAAATTAAAAAATAAAAATCACGGATATTGAATTGATCTAAAGTGCGCCTCGAGGGGCTTTTTCCCCCTCATCCTTCGATCAAAACGTCCCTCGTCCCACGACGCCGCTGGGGGAAAAAATTAAATTTAAAAAATTAACTTTCTGCTGATGCAGGCAGCTTTGGAGGAAAGAATTTCTGTCTCCGGGCCCCGTGCGAAGTGCTGGTTCGAACCCGTAAAGCCCTAAACGGCCAGGATCCAAACGATTACAAGGACCGCGTCTCCCTCGATGCGCCTCCTCAAGTGCTAAGATCCTCAGCAGAGGCCTTGCTCTCGGTCTTAAAAACATCACCGGGTGCCCTTAGTGGGGGACACGGGAGAGGGCCTTTTCGGTGGCTTCTCAAAGACTTTGGAACTCCCTGCCACTGGAAAACAGCCTGCCCCCATCTTGGCTCTTCTTTGGCAAGCAGCGTGCAGGCAGGCTTTCTCTGAACAACAGGCTGCCCCAGTGGGGCTTTTAAATGGACAGTTGTGCCTTATGGTCAGAGTTGCTTTGTTTATTTTTTTAGTGTGGGACTTGTTTGCTATTTTTTTGCATTTCTACACTTACCGTTTTGAGCTTTTAAATATTCATCTTTTCGTGCTGCTAAGCCCCTTTGAGTCCTTTTTCCAGGCAGGGCAAAAAAAAAAATACTTGAAATCTATCCATCCCTCCCGGGACGCTTTACCTATGGATTTCGTTCCAGGAGGCGATGGGAGGGCAGTAGTTCC